CCTTGCTGTAACCGCGGGAAAGGACGCCGGTACCCGTGGCACAGGAGGCTTAGTGAGCCCCAGAGCCGGTCTGGACGCAGATGGTAGAGGAAAATCCTCTGTCCCCGTCGGGGATCGAACCTCGGTCGTTGATTTTTGTACATAAATAATTTCTTCCATGTTTTCCTTCTCTGATCTCTTAATTATTCTGTTTTTGGTCCGTCTTCAGGTGTAAAAGTTAAAATTATAAACTTAAAATCTAATTACAATTTCTGATATGCAATTTTTTGGTGATGTTCACTTCTAGATTCATTTTTTCATATTGGAGTGAATGTTTTTGATGTTCTACATCGGCCAAAGATGAGAGTGTAGATACATCTTGATGTGTCTGGAAGCACTAACGTATCCGTATTGTAATTAGGTTTTAAGTTTATAATTTTAACTTTTACACCTGAAGATGGTTTATATAGAAACCGAAACATGTTGTAAAAAGATGTTCCAAATGTAAATCGATTGTTCGATGAGGAACATCAAATTATATTTTAATTATCTTAATTGTAAATTTTAAATTTTTAAATTTGAATTGTGATTAGACGGACCAAAAACCGAATAATTAATATATGGTATCACAATATGACGCAACTATATCATCATTCTCTGATCTCCTTCGTTATGTTGCTCTTTAATCTTCTTTGTCGTTCACCTCCTTTCCTTCGTCTTATACTTCCTTTGTACGTCCTGAAACTGGTTGTGCGGTTCTCATGCCGGTGAGTAATACTTGAAATTCGATTTCTTTTTAAAGTTTCGTCCGTCCTTACTCACTGAACTTGTAATAAGACGCGTATTTTATTTTTCTCATCCTTTCCGTGTAAGCTTAAGTTACAAGTGAATGTCAGAGTACTTTTGTTGTAGAATAATTAAGTTTTAACTTTAAAACTTGCGTTGTTAACCTTTTGAAGCCAGAAATATACATTTTAGATTAAAAGCGTAAGTTACCTGTGTTTATTTTGGGAATCATAAGAAACCCATAAATGCTTTGTGGACAAAATACAATGTTAGTAAATGTTAAAACATGTGGCGTAAGTATGGAGCATTGTACTTCAGATGGTCCATGTAAAAAGTTGTTAACCATTTTGTTCAAGCCGAACAATAGAGAATTTAGGTTGTGAAAATCGTTGTAATGAGAACGCAAAACTTTGTTAAATGCCCACAGTTTCTGAATTGAATGAGTAATGAGACCGGATTTAAAAAACTATGGTAAAGGGAACGCTCGTTATTTGGTTTGGGAGGGGTCGTGGGGGAATCAAAATGGCTCGCTCGCTGCTGCTGCTGCTGCCGCCTGGGAAGCCAAAGTGAATCATCCTGAGACGTGTTACGAATCACCGAACCAAAGCGACGGACGGGAGTAATGACTCGCGTGTTAGATTGACAAGCATTCGGTTGCAGGACGCCAAAAGAGAGTAACTCAGAAAGTTAATTTTACATAATGGGCCCTTAAACGCAGAAATATGAAATTAATTTGGCTTCCGAGGTTTTCTAACTGGGCGCCAAATGTGTTGCATTTACGAATCACAAATAAATAGATGAGTAATGTTATCTCAGTTGGAAAGCGCTTGCTTTGTGATGTACCCGCTTCGAAACCGGTCAGAGGAATTCCGAAAACATTACTTTGTTCCAGTGGCGTATTTAAGGTTCATGCCCGTACCACAAAAACTTTTATTTAAATCCTCTAGCCGATGGATTGTACACCTGCAGCGTAATTGAAGAGGGCCATATGTTTTCTAATATATATTGTGCGGCAAATATGAGCACAGTTAAGGATATGTTTGTTTGAAAAAGTACACTTTTAGTTCAGATAGAAATATGCAGATAACAAGTCCATTCACCTGAGTTATTTAGCTGTTTCCAGTATCAGTGTGTCATTATTTATTTATTTATTTAGTGTTCTGTCTGACGACAGGTCCATATGAACAGGATCCTTCCCTCCTTTTCTCGGACTGGGACCTGTTCTTATACGTTCTTGGCAGATGATCCAGAAGCGGTTTGCCATTGCCTTCTTCTGTGGGTGAATGGAGTAATTGTTGGGATGCCACGGAGGAAACCTCCGTGTTGCCTAGACCACAGCCTTGCCCAACACAAGTTATAAATTCGGGCACTGCCGGGAATCGAACCCGAGACTCCAGGATTACAAGCCCAGCGGTCTAACCGCTAGACCACCTCATCTTATTATTTATTTAGTGTTCTGTCTGACGACAGGTCCATATGAACAGGATCCTTCCCTCCTTTTCTCGGACTGGGACCTGTTCTTATACGTTCTTGGCAGATGATCCAGAAGCGGTTTGCCATTGCCTTCTTCTGTGGGTGAATGGAGTAATTGTTGGGATGCCACGGAGGAAACCTCCGTGTTGCCTAGACCACAGCCTTGCCCAACACAAGTTATAAATTCGGGCACTGCCGGGAATCGAACCCGAGACTCCAGGATTACAAGCCCAGCGTTCTGACCGCTAGACCACCGTGGCGTGTCATATAGGAACTTAAATAGTGAATAATATACAATCAAGAACAGATTTCCCTGTCATTATGTTCACATTACTCCTGGTTGTGGGAAATATGATGATCTCTTACAAAATCACCGCAACATAATTTTTACTCGCGCAGTAACATGAAAGATACAAATTGAGATACGTACATGCTTTATTTTCCCAACAAAAAAAAAAGACAAACCATATTTTGCATGTATTTTCTTTCTGATATTCCAAATACCATTCTTCCATTTTTAATCGCAAACAATCATACAATCATAACAGTGACTCAACTCAGATTTGTATTAGAGTCGTTAAAGATAAAATCCCAGTGATAAACTGTGCTCATATTACCTTCGCAAGGGGTGATCAGATTACGTGGAATCCTGATTTTCATTTCAAAATTCTATGACTCTGCTGGCTTCAGAGACTGGGTTTGGATAAACCACGCATTTTTAGCCAAATTTACAGATGGTCATTAATACTAGTGTCCAGTAGCGATGTTAAATTACTAATATCACATGTATTTGCTCTGTAAGTTAAATATACGAGCTAAATAAAAACCAAATATTCAGATTTAATAAACATATTTAAATCCATATTTCTAAGGAAATTTAGCAGGAAGACAGGCAGACGTAATAATTCACCAGAGCTGCCAACAGCCAAAACACAAATTTTTTTTGCAAAGTCACAGATCATATTTGCCTGAATTACGCTGTAGATGTTTATTTACATAAGCGTATGGGGTCTCGGGTTCGATTCCCGGCGGTGCCCGAATTTATAACTTGTGTTGGGCAAGGCCGTGGTCTAGGCAACACGGAGGTTTCCTCCGTGGCATCCCAACAATTACTCCATTCACACACAGAAGAAGGCAATGGCAAACCACTTCTGGATCATCTGCCAAGAACGTATATGAACAGGTCCCAGACCGAGAAAATGATGGAAGGATCCTGTTCATATGGACATGTCGTCAGACAGAACACTAAATAAAAAAAAAATTACAAGTGGCGCTATTATCGGTGCCAGAATATTGCAGGAAATTTCTAAAGTGCGATTTTAGGGTCGTTCAAAATGACATAAACTTTGTACCAAATTTCATCCAAATCCATCCAACGGTTCTCGAGGTAACCGGCGGGGCCCGAATTTTTAACTTGTGTTGGGCAAGGCCGTGGCCTAGGCAACACGGAGTTTTCCTCATTGGCATCCCAACAATTACTCCATTCACACACAGACGAAGGCAATGGCAAACCACTTCTGGATCATCTGCCAAGAACGTATATGAACAGGTCCCAGTCCGAGAAAAGGATGGAAGGATCCTGTTCATATGGACCTGTCGTCAGACAGAACACTAAATAATAATAATAATTAAGTCATTCAGTACGTGTTCTATTGTTGACGTCTGGACAGAACGACAGAAGAGGGAACTGTCGCCAATTTAAAAACATGCAATTGTGCCCAGATCTACGTATTACGTATAAAACAAAAGAACAAATAAACTAAACCCCAGATACAAGCTGCGAATCACAGATCGATTGCTGAAGCTGTAGCTTAATTTCACTGTTCACTAACTAACTGTATTATGTGAGAACACATAGTTTCAAACACTGAAATTTTATGCCTATCTGCGTCGTGTTTCTGATCATGTTGGGGGAAGAATGACGCATTGGCTTGTGGGTAATGAACTGAAGTGATGGGTGGCGCGGAGTGTG